ACCCATGGCTTAAAGTCCCTCCCGGAGGACTTGTTCCCTGAATTATTCTGCCCTTAAAAATTCCACGACCTCCGCCGGGTTTGAACCCGGGTACCTTGAGTCATGAGGTGGGAACGTTACTCCTAGACTATGGAGGCCGCTACCAAATATGCTATATATATATATATATATACATGGTAGAGTCATTAAGTTCGTGGAATGTGGTTTTATCACATCATATTACAAGGTATTCTTCACATACAGTTACACAGATCCACATTGGCCCTCAAAATAGTTTCCGTTGGCTGCTATGCATGTCTGCCAACGTTGATATAGCTGTCGAAAACACTGCTGAAACATATTGACAGTAAATTCCCATACGACACTTTGCAGCCATTCCACGAACTTACTGACTGTGGTAGTGTGTGTGTGTGTGTGTGTGTGTGTATGTATATATACAAAACATAAAATGGACAATAATAGCTGCCATGTAACTACATATAATGAAGAGAACAACAGGTCAGATTCATACTTAATTCTCCCCTTTCACTGTCTACTTACTTTCTTCCATGGCTTGTCTAACAAAATCATCCTGATTTCTGTCTTGGACCTTCAAACATCCATAAAGGATAATGCACCTACTCGTACACATATTCTTTGGCCTTCTGCACATGCCTCAACTCCAAAGATCAATGCATACTGGGGAGAACAGCAAACCAGCACGACTCTCCTACACCACCATTCATGCCCTACATTACATCCACCTCAAGTTGCACACTCTGTCAAATATACAGTGCTCATACCTTCATGCCTTCCTTCCAGGCTTTCTTTAGACACAGCCTTACAATTCTTATGAGGCAAAAGCTCAGGCTGATCTCTGATGTTACCTACTGTAAATTTATATATTTACAGCACACAAGGAAATTTGATTGGGTTACCTCAGGAATAAGGGTATCAGGGAATAGACTCAGGTTTCTTAATAGTCTAATGAAAGAAGGAAATATGCCAGAAGAATTTAAAGAATACTATTGTCATTACAAAAAAATATACAACAAAGTTATCTGTGAAGCAAAAGAATTAACTAATAACATGTGAATAAGAGCATCAGGGAATAAATCAAAAGCCATGTGGGACCTAGTTAAGGAGGAACAAGGTAAACAGAAAAAGCAATAAGGAATATTGAAATAAGTGAAAATGGAGTAAATATACACGACCCAAAAGCTATAGCCAATGTCTTTATTGAATACTATACCAGTATTGCCCAAAAGATATTAAGTGGCAATCCATTATCCAAAACCAATGAAGTTAATGTCAATACAGTAAAATATAACAGTAACAGCATGTTCTTAACCCCAGCTACTTAAGAGGAATTGGCAGGCATAATTAAAGGATTGAGTAATAAAAAATCAACAGGAATAGATGATATTCCAGAGTATATTATTAAAAAAATGTTATCCTAAAATAACAACTGCTTTGACACATATAATAAATCTGTCACTCTCAACTGGGCATTTTCTTGATTAAATAAATATTGCAAAAGTGAAACCTTTGTATAAGAAAGAATGTGATATAGAAGTTGGGAATTATAGACGACCAGTTTCACTAATTTCTGTGTTTTCAAAAATAATAGAAAAAATCATACACAAAAAGACTTTTATCATTCTTGAATAATCACAGCATAATTAACAATAAACAGCATGGTTTCTGTAAAGGGAAATCAACAAATACTGCAACTGCAGAATTTATAGAAAGGGTCTACAAATCATTGAATGAGAGGGAAATAAGTATAGGGATACTTCTGGATCTGTCCAAGGCATTTGACTTAGTTGATCATGATATATTGCTAAGGAAGATGACAAGAATGGGAATAAGAGGGGTTGCATTAAAATGGTTTCAATCATATCTAGAAAACAGGAAACAAAAAGTGGAAATTACATACAGATGTACAGAAACTAATGAAATCAATATCTATCGTGAAAGAGACCCATAAGATATGGAGTCCCACAAGGTTCTGTTCTCAAACCAGTGTTGTTTTTGCTATATACGTGTATCAATGATCTAGAAGCCGGCATTGAACATGGAAGACCAACGTTTCTTGCAGACGATATTAGTATTCTTATAACAGGAAATAGTGCCNATAGTGCTAAAGATGTCCAAAGAAAAATAAATAAAACAATAAATGCACTCACAGAGTGGTTTGAAAAGAATAGATTAATTATTAATAAAGAAAAAACAACAGCAATATCCTTTCATCAACCTCAAAAAGTAAAAGTCAAATGCCCATCAATAAAGCTCTATGATACAGTCATCAATTATACAGAACATACAAAATTTTTGGGAGTTTGGTTGGATAAGAATCTAAGGTGGTCTCCACATACACAACAACTAGCAAATAAACTATGTAAAATATGTTTTGTCTTACGAGTAGTCAAAAGAGTATCAGGGTTAGAGACTGTTCGCACCTTATATTATGCTTATTTTCAGTCCTTGTTATTATATGGATTAATATTTTGGGGCAATTCAGAAAATGCAAAATTGATCTTTAGGTTGCAGAAGAAAGCTATTAGAGCTATGATACTGTGACATGTTGCGCAATGGAAAACCCCTCCCTACCCAGCAGCAGCGTGGCAACTCAGGCCACAGTGTGGCGGATGAGTCAGCGCTCCCCTCCCCCCCCTCCGCACGGTAATGTAACGCGCAAAGCGCAGTGACGTAAGACGGCGTGAGGTAACAGCGTTGCTATGTAACAGGCCCACACAACCCCTATATAAGACAGCTGCGCTGCCTGCGTGGAGAGTTGAAATGTGGCCATCGCCAAGTTCAGTAGAAGTCGAGCCAGTGTGTTATCAAGAGTTCTCAAGGCAGCAGCCTGCGAGTTGAGTTGGAATATAGCAGCCGTAGCGTAAAGAAGAACCGGACGTGTGTGTAGTTGTGTAATTGGGAGTGTGTGATACAGGGACACTTACATAGCTCCCGTACTGTAAACATGTAGACTACTGAAGACAGAGTGAATTGATTTGCGAATAGGGTTATAAATTGTGAAACCCCGCAACAGTGTAAATGGATTATTGCAATTAGGGTTATAAAGTGTGAAACCCTGCGATATTGTTATAATTAATTGTAGCCGAGATTTGTAGGTTATTAAATAAACCAATTAACAATCTCTACGGCGTACTCAGTAACGAAACACGCGACAATACAAATCCTGAAAACCATTAGTTGTAAACAATATTTTAAATCGTTATATATATTTCCTTTACCATGTCTGTATATATATGAAATTTTATTTTACATAAAAACCAATTTGAATGTTTTCATAACCAATTCAGGAATACGGTCGCACAATACAAGGAGAAAAGAGGACTTATTCATAGTGCCATGTAATAAGAGTCTATACAAAAACAATTTAAATAATATTGGACTTTGTATGTTAAATCAGTTGCCACAATATATTAAAGGGATACCAGTACTATACTAGTTTAAAAAGACTTTGAAAACATTCCTACTTGATCATAGTTTCTATAGTATAGACGAGTTTCTCCTGTTTGGGGGCAAATCCTAGTTCTAATCACTTGTAAACATATTGTAACGTATTTTGTGTGTCACGCTACAAATAAGTTCACGCGTAGGTCTGGTATAGCGAGTTTATTCCTTTCGCTCCTTTACACACACTTTACAGACATTTACACTTGCAGTGTTACAATCACTGCTCACAACATTCGGCGAGACACTGGACTATCTCTTCTGGCGGTTATCCCAAGGCTGACTTCCAAGATGGCTCGATCACGTCTGGCCTCTTAGCTGGCTCTTCCGAGACTGCCGACTTCTCGTCGAAACTGGGCTTTTATAACCTTGGCCGCTGATAGGAAACGAACCCTCGGTTATAACCATGGAGACTCCTGTTAGAACTACAATGGAGCAATTGTTGTTTCCTATGCAACGGTCTATTCTAGTGTTTCCATAGAAGCGTCTCCTCTGGATTCCAGACACGTTACAATATATTTCAAGAATAATTAACTTGCAGATTCTAATATTCGTAATGTTATAGGAATGCCTAGTGCCCTGTTCTGTATTTTTTTCTTACAGGAATGAGATCGAGGATAACACCAGGGTATTTTGTGCCGGGATAGAAGGATCGGGTCTTGAGGCATACAGCAGTGTTGTGTCTTAAACAATTATATCAGTTCTATTATTAGAATCATCATTGTATTATCTTAGTAATTAGTATAATATTACAGTCAACTCTCGATTATCCAGGGGCGGATTAACCAGTTTGCAGCTTAACCAGGGCTACTGTGGCTTTTTTGAGGCTTATATGTTGTTTAATATTCATTCACTTTTGTTTCACGTGGTGAGTTGTAACACTATTTTCGCACTAGTGTGAACCGAGCTCTGCATTCTTTGGTCCTGTTATGCTAACACAACGTTCTAGGGTAGGGGTGAAAGAATGCAAGGATTTGTGGAAAGTTTCAGGGGCAGATAGATCGCCCCAGTTAGTATCTTTCTATCGATCTTCAAGTGCGTTAGCAAAATGTCATGGTGTGAAAGGAAGCGTGTTTTAAATATTCAACAGAAACTTGTGTGAGCTAGGCTTCGATATGTTGAGCAGTGACGAAACCATAAGTTCAGTGGGGTTGCAACCAGAAGAGCGGGAAGAAAGTGAGAATGAGGAAGAGGTGGACAGTGCTGCTAGTAAGAAAATATCACATGGTGCTGCTCTTAATCATTTGGAATCCTTACTAGACTATCTCGAGAGTGAAGAGAACAGTTTATTAAGTGACAAGCTAATATTACGTAGTCTTGGTATGGATATCCGTAAAAAGGAAAATGCCGCGAAAAAACAAACAACAATATTACATTTTTTAAGTGTTAACTGTGAATATTCGTAAAAAGTGTTGGATGTTGTTGAACACTGTGATTGAAATAACTAATTCATACTTCAGTGTAATGTAAAAAAAAGTATTAAATAGGCCATGAGATGACATAAAAATGAGGTTGAATAAATTTAAATACAGGTAGGCCTATAGTATTATGAAGGTACAGTATTACAGTAGTACTTTTAATAAAATTTGTCTTAACCGGGTTTTCGATTAACCGTGATTTCCATCCCCACCATTATCCCGAATAATCGAGAGTTGACTGTATATTGTTATTACTTACTTACTTACTTACTCATGGAGCTGAGCCCTTCTTGAGGAGCCGCCAATTCTGCTGCTACTCAAGAATTTCCCAGGATTTTATGGAACCTGAAGGTTCATCACTGGGTTCACAAGAGCCCTCCAATGGTCCCTATCCTGAGCCAGATCCATCCAATCCATACCATCCCATCCTATCTCTCTAAGATCCAGTCTAATATTGTCCACCCACCTACGCCTTGGTCTTCCCTGTGGTCTCTTTCCTTCTGGCTTTCCCACCAATATGCTATACGCATTCCTTGTCTCCCCCATTCGTGCTACATGACCTGCCCACCTCATCCTCCTTGACTTGATCATTCTAATTATACTTTGAGAAGAGTACAAGTTATATTATTTATTATATTATTATTATTTTATTATTGTAAAGTATTTGACTTGTCCTATATCATGTATAATGATCCATGGATATGAAGTAAATAAATAAATAAATATATCTAGTGATTTCTGTTAAGTTCATAAGGGGAACTGAAACTCATTTTTCAGGTGAAGCTTAATTTTATGTGACTTGACACCTGAACATCTGATATAACTCATACTGGGGTACATACACCACACCTTAAACACAACGTTCCACCGCATGATGTAAACGTAGGTGCATTCTGAGTATGAGGAATATAAATTCCATGTGCTGTGCCAATACATTAATTCTGAGAGATATTTGAAGTAGCCTATGCAGTAAGTGTTTAGCAGAAATGCCACGCTCTGGTAAGTACCAAATACCCTCCCTATACTGTATTATCCAAGTGATTAAATCAAGGAAGTTCAGACTGCTGCATATGCAAGATGCATGGATGCATGTATAAGAATTACAAATAGCACAGATCAGAAAGCAATATTAAAATGAATCACAGTGACTATGTTGTGAGCAAAACTGGACTGAGTAGGCTTGGGGCAGGATTCTGTGTCAAGTTTCTATAGTGACTGTTTTCAGTAATTCAGTTTTGTAACAGTATGATAGTTCTTCAACATCTGAATAATCACTTTCCTCTTTTGGTGAGAGTAGGAAGTTAGTGATACCATTTCTGTAAGATGCACAAGGGAAACTGTTTCTTTAAAAATTTCAATAAAACCTGGTAATCAACTTTCGGTAACATCTACCTCAAAAAAGTCAGGCTGTGGCTCCTCTGATTCTGACATATGCCTTGCAGCTTGCTGTCTATACAAGTCAATTTGTTGCTGGACTGTATTTTGCAATCGTTCTGTAATGACAGAGACTGGGTTCTCATCCCAAGAGTTCCAACTCTGAAGATCTGGCCCCTGAAATTAAAATTAAAAAATGATTACTACATAAGGCAGAAGTCTGAGTCTCCCTTCCTTCAGTGTCTCTAAAAATTCTGTCCCTGCTAAATGCCACAGTGTGGAGCAAGTACAGGTTCAAAAGAAACATTTGTACCTTATGTCTCATTCAATTATGCCACACATAAAAACACTTGCACTCAGTTTCAAACATAAAATCTCAAATTTCAATACAAAAATGGCATTTTATACTGTTTTCAGTAAAATGTAATACGATATATATTGCCCTTACTTCTACTGAATTGAAATTATTGGGCACAACACCAACTGCTGTCAACGGGATTGGATCACCCGATGCTCGTCGCCGACGTCGAAAACAACATAAGGCTCGCTTTACCACTCCAAGTAAGAACAGGAACAATGCTTTCAATCGGTTCACCATAAAAGCAATTGCCATTGCCTGGAAAATTTTAAAATATAACATTGATGCGTTCGGCATCAAATAATTACGATTAACATATTCGAGAATAAGTAAATCCGCTTATTTAATCAACCATGACTAATACATATAATACTTCAATCTAGACCTCTTCAATTTTATGCCGGATCTTATTTATCAAACTTACCAGTAATTTTTGTTAACTGGAACTGGAAATCACGCCTCAACTAACACAAAAATATATGAAATGGCATAACATTATTAAATATAAATAAACTGCAATCACGGATAATGCGGACAGCATGCACCACACAAATTTAGGAAGAGTAAACAAGTTCGTCCTCAACCTACTTACTTGTCAGTATCATTAACTAGAGCAGTAAAACCATATATTACACATGTACACATATCCTAACCCCTAACTTCCCCCAGGTCACAACAAACGCAAGCGAACTGCTACGACAAGAACGATCAGAACCATCAGAACGATCAGAACCACAGACTCAACAAAACATGGACAACACAAACCACGTAGACAGCAGTAGACAGAAACACTGGCACGGATTAACACGCTCTGGTATCTCTCTGGCTCTCTGGTGCGCTCTAGTCTTGTCCGTCTAGTCTAGTGGCCCATTAAACTCCGGGTCGGGTTGTGATGTTTGAAATAATCATTCCAATGCTGTCGCATAGCTGCCAGGTTAGTTATCCGTGGTTGTCACGACCCGCGGTCATCTGAACCGGTCGGAACCAATACAATTCATACAGTTCATATTTCATACTAATCCCTTATCTTTATGCTAATGGTGGGAAACGTATACAGACTGTGATGTCATATGTCCTCTGTCAGGAGTGGACAGGAATTTAAGCGGTAAGAAGGTTAACATGTAAGATATGAGGTTTTCACGGCGGTGACTACGAAGAAAGCAGTCTTCTGCGATGTGGCCCATGTAGATATGTGTTAACCGACGTCTCGGAGGAACGTATCGCCTCTCCCTTCCCTTCCTGTTCTTATACAGCTGGGTTTACTCGACTGGACTCAGTCTGTTGCACCTGCTCATGGTGGTTCGTTCGCGGATTTCTTTTCTTCTACCCTGAAGAAGGAGGCGATGCGTTCCTCCGAAACGTCGGTTAACACAATATCTACACGGCGTCACATCCCAGAAGGCTGCTTTCTTCAAGGTTAACATGGTTAATATTGTGGGACATAGCGCCGTGTAGTTCGTTGAAAGCCATTCGTCTTTGCAAAAGAACATGCCGCCTCCATATTCCAGACCGAAGAATAAGACAAGTTAGCCTGTTTCATGCTGGTTTTTCAATGAACTACAGTGCATTATAACCCAGAACATAAGACCCTTCAAAATCACCATTATGAGAACCTCAAATCCTACGGGTTAACTGCTATCCAATTTACACAGCACCACAATTCTTGACATTGTAATTAATTTTGCAGTCCATGTCTGTTGGACAGCAAAGAAACTTACTCAGATTTTTATATGAGTCATGTGAACAGCTTTCACTTACAGGCCTATCTATCTGGATGAAGTTTCTCAGCAGTTCCTGCAAAGGACAAACATCTATTATTAATCAGTTCAGAATCTCTTAACTGAAATGAACTGGAGCATCTTAAACTATATCACGCCACGAGAAGCGTAATATTCATAAGTGGTCAGGGTTGCTAAAGTTGGATAAACTTCAATGAAAAACGTGTTTTCATCACGTGTGTTCAATCAGAAAACTTTTGTTTGCAATTTACACTTCTAAGCTACAGAAAACGTTGTATTTCATTACTTTAATGTGTTATAAAGGAAACTTCCAACTTCTTCTAAGTACACAGCTTTCTGTATGTCAGGTCACTTGTTCGCTGGGCACCACAAGGCAGGAAGACCGTGACATCGCTCGGTACCTAGATAGCAATACTTCAATATCTAAGGGTCTGTCACGCGACAAATAACTTTACGTGGGTCTCGGATTTAGTGAATCTTTATTGGACATTCACACTCACCCACTCCTTACAATTAATGCCACTTGCAGTGTCATTTGACTTCTGGCCCAGTACTCCAATGCGACGTCTCAAATATCCTTTGCCGTGGTTGGATCTCAACTGTCTCTGGCGACGGCTATCCCAATACTGACTTCTTGCTGTCCTCTGTAGCTCTCGGTTTATGTAGGTGTTCTACGGACTAGATACCAGACACCATTCCTCACGGTTTTGATTCTACTGTCCGCTGTTACGTAACGGGTCTTCGGTTGTTCATCTCCTTGGAGATTCGGCGTTCTCTACGCAACGGCCCACTGTTAGAATTACCGCTATTGTTACTTCCTATGCAACTGTCTGTTCTAGCGTTTCCATGGAAGTGTCTATTCCAAACATGTTACATTGCTCCCTTCTAAAGGTTGTTCGTCCCCGAACAGTCTAACGGTACTTCCTTGGTTTCGTTTCCTAAAGTGTTCATGTTCCCCATGTTATCTCCACCTTTCCTTCGGTATTTTGCCTTCCTTCCTCCCGCCTCCCTTCTTCCAAAGTGCTCGCCCCGAGCACTTCCAAAGTCCAGCGGTTGTTGATCCCATTGTCTCACATTCATTCCTCACTTTCATTCTTTCCTCATTCATTCTTGCTAGGGAGGCCGGTGCTTCTACGTTACCGGTTCCTCTCATACGGGCCGTTTCCCTTTTTTCGTTTTGGAGGGGGTCGACCCCTCCACAGTGTCCAGTTTTTGATGTCCGTATTTGTTGTGATTCCGCGCAACACGTCTGCTTGCGCATTTGCACATGCCTCGAATTGTTTCCTTATTCTCTCCTTATTGTCTCTCTTAGTTCAAGTTTTTCTTGTGTCCTTTTCGACACATCCTTATGTGAACTTGTGCGTGACTCTAATTGATCTCCCTGAATACTGAGTCTCTTGTGCTGTGTCACACTTGCGCAGCGGGTCATCTTGTCAGCAATGACCAGTCGCTTCCTCCGGGATCCACCAACTCCGAGTAAGATTCTCCTTCACGATGTCTCTCTTGCGTCGTGCCACTGTTGCGCGACGGGACATCCTCTTGTCGGTCTGTGTTTTTTCTGCCACTTTCGCACGGCGTGATGTCCTTCTGCGGGCGACGGCCAATTTCTTCTGGGGTCTACAATTTTCCCGTGTTGAATTTTTCGGTTTCTAGCGGCGGCGCTCCGCGGCCAGTTTTCGGTCCCTACGACTTTTCTTCTTCGGTTCTCCAACCGGCATTACTTCAGCGTCTACTTTGGAGACATCTTCTTTCTGTGCCGCCTCAGGTTTCCTGTCCAGTGAGGTCGGCTTTGTCTCTTCTTGACGCACCTCCATCTCTTGGCAGGCCAACGTCTCATCGTGGTTGTCGTTCACACATTTGTCTCTCATGGCGGCCATCTCTTCTCGCCATGCTTCCATATTTGCCTGTCTGTCGTCCTCTAGTTTAGCCAGTAGTTCTCTGTGGCCGGTCTTCATTTCTTCTTGGCCCACTGACAGACGTTCTATCATCTGTTGTATGTCCATTTTTCCGCGCGGTGTTTTCGTGTTTTAAGTTCGATCTTTTAAATTCGTCTCAGAATCCGAACTGATCCCGCTTCTAACACCAGTTGTCACGTATTGGGTATGTCACGCGACAAATAACTTTACGTGGGTCTCGGATTTAGTGAATCTTTATTGGACACTCACACTCACCCACTCCTTACAATTATTACCACTTGCAGTGTCACTTGACTTCTGGCCCAGTACTCCAATGCGACGTCTCAAATATCCTTTGCCGTGGTTGGATCTCAACTGTCTCGGGCGACGGCTATCCCAATACTGGCTTCTGTAGCTCTCGGCTTATTTAAGTGTTCTACGGACTAGATACCAGACACCATTCCTCACGGTTTCGTTCCTACTGTCCGCCGCTCTTACGTAACGAGTCTTCGGTTGTTCATCTCCGTGGAGATTCGGCGTTCTCTACGCAACGGCTCACTGTTAATTACCGCTATTGTTACTTCCTATGCAACGGTCTGTTCTAGCATTTCCATGGAAGTGTCTATTCCAAACACGTTACAGGTCGCAGCGTGTGGCGCCCCAAGTAATCTTGGGGCATCCCATGATGATACTGGGGCTAGCAACTGTAATGTACTCTCCTATGTCGATGGTTACAAGGCATGGTTTGGTGTCAATCCACCCCTGGTCGATCAGGCTATTTTCAGTCCTTACAGATATGACATTTAACGTGGGATGGGCTGGAACCCGCTCGTTCACCGAGAGTCGGTATTCTCTCCATGTCGGCTCCTGTTGATTTCTTGAGTGCTATTTGTTCCTTCAGTTCAGTGTCAGTTTCTTCTTGATTGGCCCCTGCCTGGATCTCCAACCCTTGTATGACAGCTACCAAGACTTTCAAACTCTGCCATTTTGCTTCAGTATAACTGAAGCAAAATAACTCTTGTGGGCATGGGTTCGAATCCCCTTCTGACATCGGTTTTCATGTGTTCGAGTGATTATAGATGGGGTTTAGGTTGATAACTGGATTTATTGCACGCTTTTACAAATCGTGATTACACATCACAGGTGAATAGTGTACTCAGTAATGTTGCTTGGTAACAACTTCAAATGGCAGACAGTCCTCTGCTTCCAGGCACATGTCCTTGCAGGGTGGTGAGCATCTGATGCTAACCTCATACTCTTACCACCTGCTTCACCGGGAACTTCCTTGAGGTCCTAGCTCCCAGGCTCAAATCTGTGTGTGTGTGTGTGTGTGTGTAACAAACATAGCCAGTTTTCTCATACAACGTAAGTTGTTTTTTTTTATTGTGGTGCTTAGTTTTTGGAGGTGGCTCCATATGTGTAGGGGTTTTTGTATGCCCAATGATATTTATTTTAATTTCTCACTACTTTCATGTCAACTTGTGACACATTAAAATATGTCAGATGAAGGTACAAGCAAAACGAACTCTGTGATTCTAGTCCGCAAGCAAACTATACTGACCGAGCAACCACCGCTTGCTAGCGAAGTCAGTGCCGACTTTAGCAGATAGAGGGTGCGCATGGTCAGCTCAACAAAACCCCATGTCGTTAATTTCGGTTTTCTAAACCAGAGCCGCTATTTCCTTGAAATAGTTCCTCATTATCCTCACAAGGCTGAGTGAACCCTGTTCCAGACCCACGACTTCTCAGAAAATCTGGTAGCACCAGATCTCTGGATCTGTAGCCAGGAACTCTGACCACTAGATCACAGAGGTGGTCCAGATGAAGATACAGTATGTCATAATAGTAAGTAAAGTAAAAAGTAAAACTATCCCTGTAACAGGCCATGAAGACCCATAGGGTTGTGAGATGCTGAGGGTCTCATATAATAGCAGCAAATGATTTGTGTTTTCATTCAGAGATGGCATAGCTGTGCAATGAGAAGTGTGGGACATTTTAGTATGCTGTGCTATAGGAAGGTTAAGTCACTTTCGGGAAATTCTTGACAGCTGTACACTAATTATGAATCCGGGGATTTCATGCTTCCTAAATATGATGTGAAGGATATAAATTATTATCATAAAACTTTCGTATC